TGTTTTAAAATGGGCGTGACCTTTCCTACTGCCATTCTACACCTCAAAATTGCTAAAAGGAACAAATACAAGGTGTACACACACACACACACACACACACACACACACACACACACTTTATTGTACTGAAAATGAGAAGTGATCTAATGTCTACCAAGAGACAACTGCTTAAGTTGGTCATGTTACACTTGATGAACACTACTCAGTCTTTTAAAGAGTTATGTAGATTTTGCATCTTTAAATTCAAAAATTAAACCTGTGAAAGCTATTCTCTAGCAAACTGTTAATGTTGTTGTTTTCTAGGGCTGGGACATTTTTCTTAATTCACAGTAACAGACCTCTACATAGTATGATTGTATCCATATTCGTAGGTGGGGCAATTGTGGATAAAGGAGAAACACAGGATTTGGGGACTGAAGGGGACAGCAATGGAGGACTCCTAGCCTCTGGCTGGAGTGCCGAGTGTACTCCCAGAAGAAGTTAAGCCTGGTTGGGAGTACTGCCTTGGTGATGTCAAGGCTGCTCTGGGTACCATGGGGAGGGGTTGCGCAGCTCACCCGGTAATATCAGAGCGCTGGGCTTCCTGGGCTAAGTGCTCCTGAAAGAAGATACATTGGAACTGAGGCTGAATTTCATGTTATTGCTCAAGCCTCACACAGCCCGATGCTGAAGCACTTTCTGAATAGTGGCATAGCAACTCCAGAGATGGGGGATAAGAGCCGGGGGTGGGGTGGGGCAAGTAAAGGACTGGCAGGAACAAGCAACTGTGCACAGGACAGCTGCCTTTGCCTGTCTTCTGGCTCACAACCAGTCACCAGTATCAGACCCCTTGACTTCTGGCTACATTTACAGGAACTCCTTTATTCTCCCTTCCCTGTAGCAGCAGCCACCATGAAGGATGGCACACATAGAGGAGATATAGCTACTGCCACCCAGGCCCAACATAAGCACCCAGAGTCCAAAGAGAAACCAGTAGCAAATTCAGGTAACTGCTTCTGTGGCATATCTTTCTTGCACAAATAAAGCCTGTCTGGGGTGGGGGGGGGAGGGGTGGTGGTCAGAGAATGGAGCTTGAGTATTTGCATCTGCACAAGGACCCCCACCAAGAATTTGATTTTGGGAAGCCTCATAACCTTTAATTCTGCCTTGATGTTCAAGGGCTTTGGCCTCCTCCAATATAACTTCCACTGCACCTGTGGACCCAGTTCTAGAACAGCTGAGATTAACTGAAGCCAGTCATTTGGAGTTATTCTATTTCTTGTAGCCCATGACTTTACTAACTGCCTCACAAATGGTGACTGCATGCCATAAGAAACTACTGCTTCCTTAATATCTTTTAAATCTTTGCTACATATGGGCTCCCATTTCCATTCTATATATCCTTCTTGCACAAATAAAGCTTGTCTGGGGTTAGAGAATGGAGCTTGCCACTAGCTCACCATAGAGGTCTGGAGGTCTGTTCAGACAGACAGGAAGTGATGTAGCTGGGCAGAAACGGGCTATAAGCAGGGACGAAATTGTTCTCTTCCCTGTGGAGACTCTTAGGAGGTAAGGTGTTTTGTGGCTTGCTCCTTCTCTCTGCATTTCCCTCTATATCTGACTCTAGCCTTTTATTATCTAGACCAACTAAGAACTCCTTTTACACACTTCTGTTTGCTAACTTCACCATCTAACAGCCAAGTGCTTAAAAATCTAGTCACGCCTAGCCCAGGATACTTGGGGGTCTTCTTAGGAAAGATAACATGAAATGTTGGCAATAGGGGTAGGAAGATGTGGACTCTAGTTTAAACTGTGTGACTACAGCAAGTGTGGCGAGGGAAGCAAGTGTCCTCACTTCTTTAAAAGGAGGCTCACTACTCCATCCAGTACACACTACTCCATCATACAGGGTTGCTGTGAACGTACAACTACGTACTTAGGCAAAGGAGCATCATAAGCTGTCAAAAGCTCTGTAAATACATGGCCTACCATGAAGCTGTAGTTTTTGTGTTGATTACTGTAGCACGAATAATAAAAATCCACAGATATTAGGGGGAAAAGCTGAAAGATCAGAGAAGCAAAGCAGCCAGCCAGTAGAGTTCTTACCTCTACCAAGGCTTGAACAAAAGGGGTGATCCTGTCCTCAGTATGACTGCAGACTAAATACTACACTCCTGTCTCCTCCTGTCTTACATTCCTCTCTAGTACTGGATTAAAGGTGTGCACCACCACTGCCCAGCTTCTGTGGCTAACCAGTGTGGCTGCTAGGAAAACAGGTGTGTGCTACCACTGCCTGGTCTGTATAGCTTGACTAGTATGGCTAGCTTTGTATTCTGATTTTCAGGCAAGCTTTATTTACTAGATCATAAACAAAATATCACCACAGATTATGGTTGACGTGTAGCAAAGACCGAATTTATCTATTGGTTCAGAGAACTTCTTTGGGGTTTTCTGGGAAGGGGGCCCAAGGGAAGGTGAAATTCCAGCATGGCCAATAACATCTGTATCGTAGTTTAAGAAAAGGGAACAGAAGAGATGGTGTCCAGGCTGTGGGAAGAGAGCTGATACTGATCTAAAACAGGAGTTTCTTCTGGGAGCACTGGTTGGTGCTGTTAATTGTGGCCCCACCATTTCCCTCTTTTTCTCTTTGAAATCCTCTGTCACTATGTAGCACCTATGGTATCCAATGAGTACCCCTAACTTCTGAGACCTGGAAAGTTCTAACGGCAATGGGTGACATTCTTCTAAAGCAGCAAACATTTTCTTCTTCCAGAGTACTCCTTTGGAGTCTTGAAAGCAGATTTTACCATCTCAACACTGAAGGATCCAGAAGAGATGAAAGACCAGTTTTTGAGTGAGGTGAGATGTCTAACTTTTTGAATGTTGATCATTCAGGTGATAATAATGCAAAGCAGTACTGTCAAAGCCAATGTATTAAGAAAGTTGGGACAGGGCAGATGTCTCAGTTGGTAAAGTGCTTGCGCATTCTGTATAAAATTTTAGCAAACTGTCTGGCACATAGTTGGTGCTCAGTATTAGCTATTATTAGCACTATCACTACAATAATTAAACTGATTATTGAACACAGCCCGAGAAAACATTTCTCAGGGGCTAAAGTCACCTCTAGATCATCCATATCTATCTATCTATCTATCTATCTATCTATCTATCTATCTATCTATCTATCTATGTATCTAAAATCATAACTTTATAGATAAGATACATTGGCATTTATTTAGCAGCTCTTTGCCTCTTATTCAAAGGCCAAAATCAAGTTTCTAGAAAGACCACTAGTGTGTGGCTTTGCAAGTTCATGTACATGCTGGCTAATGGTAGGGAGGGGAATTGGGAGACACTGATGCATTTGTTACTGAAAGAACAAGTGAAAATGACGCGATTCAGCACTTGATGAGCTTCTCAGCAAAATTTCAAGTAATAAAACCATAACACTACAAAGGACTTGGGAAGAAAACAATTTTGAGTTTTCTACTTTTTGTTTACTGCTTAAGGTCAGAGGTATTTTCTTTGGTCCCGGCCTGGGCCTTTATGTGCTTTCTGAAGGTGTAGTGATTGAAACTTTTGATACTAAACTAGAAGCATCTATCTTATGTATCAAACTGGACTCAGTGAGAAAAGGGTTTATACTGGTTAAGTCCCACCTCTTGCTTAGCTTCGTCAGAATGTATTTGTTCCATAAGCCAGATGGTCTGAGGCCTTGTATTTGGCCCCTCACACTATGAAAAAGAAAACCAAAGCAAAACCAAGGTAAAGGAACTTCATCGGATGAGCATGCCACAGACTTCCTAGCTATAAAAGGAATGGAGTTGATAAGGACAAGGTATGCATGGGGACTTAACAGCATTTAAAATTACAAGTATAAAGTGAGGAAAGACTTGCAGCTAATTCATTCAAGTCTCAAAACGGTGATAAAAGCTACTGCTACAGACACCCCACATACTGTTCAGAGGGCAGTGTGGAGTAACAGAGCTCAGGAGGCAGTCATTCATCCCCCTCTCACTCCTCTCTCTCTCTCTGTGGTGTATGTGCATGTATGCATATATGTACAAGTGTATACATATATATGCATGTATATGTGTATGTTTAAATTTACCCCAAAGTGTAATGCTCAGTAAAGACTGAGAGCCATTAAGTAATTTGGAGCTGTTGACAAGATATGCACTCAGGTGAAGGAAGGCTAAGAAAGAAATGGTATGGATGTACATAAAGAGTGTATATGTTATTTAGAGCTAAGTGAGCCATAGTGTCATAAAGTAGCATCAGTCTTTCTTTTTGTGGTGCTAGGTTAGAAGCTGATCCCACTGAACTTATCCCCAGCCTTACTTCTCTCTTTTTAATATTCCAGATCCAAGAAGTCTTAAAGTTTGTACTAGGTCATGAGGAATTCACACTGAAATGGATCGGCTTGGAAGTGAACAAAAAATAGCAAATATCCGCTAATTTTCACTTTCCTTTTAAAGTAGTCTTTTGGGTTCTCTTTAATTTTTTTTTTTTTTAATTCCTAGAAGCACAAGATTAGAAATGACCTGAAGTATTTCCAGGATGCATGCACCTATATGTAGCACAAAAGAAAATGACAGGTGAAAACTACATTCTTGGCTTTTACAGAGTGAGATAGATAAGCTGAAGACAGGACACCTTGAGAATGCTAAACAAAGACAACTCCCAGACCCAAACAAGGAAAACCCCCCTAAGAACTAACCGTGTGGGGAATATGGGAGGACCACAGTGGCTTAGGACAGCAGGAGGAAGCTTTCTTTCTAAGGGCGTCAACATAACACAACTGACACCAGTGCCAGCTATTTGTCCTACCCCTAAGTATTTTACTTGTAAATTGTACAGTTTTAAAGCATGATTTTCCTAATTCTAAAATGTTATCTTCAGAATACTATCTCAGTGTACCAAGTGTCCTATGTACCCAGAAGATATGCTAGAAGACAGCACACAACATAGCTGTATGTATGACAGAAGAAGCAGCACCACAAATAGAGTAGCAACTTTAGTCTGAAATGTTTAAAGTTAAAGTTTATTTGTATTTTTTGTAGGAATATCAATAAAAGACCTCAAACGTATCTATATCTGTACATGTACAAGAACTGTCAAAAATTATTCACAGAACAAAAATAAATCTTTTTTAGAACCCAGGTAATGAAATGCAGATATGGATCACATATGGAACAATCTAAGTGCTACAAAGCACAAAAATATGGCTTTAAAAATAAAATAAAATCTTGGGTTTTGTATTTCTAAGGTGGATTTCTCTTTCTTGAAATAAAAAATAAATTATTTTGAACTATCTTTGTAAAATAGTCATGTGTATTAACACACTCTTATTAAGGCCCTGGAGATGAAAAACAAAATCAAATTTGGAAAATAAATTCCTCACAGGTGTGACTCAGATAAATACACTGCTGTTTGCTTGAGTTGATCCTAATATAGCTAGAAATATCTAAGCACCAGTCAAAATTCAACCTTTACTACTTATTTCAGCTTTTCTGCAGGATGGCAGTCATTGAGATAATTAGCATTTAACCTTTTAGTGAACTAGAAATTGATAATTTCCTTGAGGGTTTGGAAATGACATATCCATGCTATTTATATTCAAAAGCCACACATAGAGGATGGGAACCCCTAAAACACAGCTGTGGAAATGTCACGGCAACCAAACAGTTCAGTCTGATTTCAGTTCCAAGACTTCCTAGGAAACAATGAGGACATAATAATAATAATAATAATAATAATAATAATAATAATAATAATAATAAAAGTGTGCTGACACATGGGGTCAAGGTACTCCTGACCTCTCCTTGGGTGGCTTGTTGCATTTACCAAGGCTAGCTGGGCTGTTTGTTGCTCAAACACCTGAGCACTACCTGATGAAGAGCCAAAACTACTTTCTGTACTCTGCTCTCAGATGGTGACAGTCATCTGCTGCTCCATATTTGCTATGCTACCAATAATGATACCTAGCTTAAGTCACTTTAACTTATATATACATATAACACATATAGTACATTTTAAAGAGGATAGAATTTTGTAAAATCTAAAAAAAAAAAAAAAAAAAAAACCAAAGCAAAGAACCTCAAGAAAGTTTAGGAATCACTAGTTCATAAAGTGGACTGACATTTTTTTAAAGGGATGCCCTAAGAGGTATTTCTGTAGGCACGCACACGTTGTCTCAGGACCCGCCTGCCACATATACATCTTAGGAGGAGCCAGCTGATGCAACTCCATTGTTTCTTTGAACTTCTGAGAAACCAAGTCTATTGGATTATGTGTCATCCTCAGGATCTTTTTGAAAGAAAGTCACTCTTGCTCATGCAAATTTCATCACCCTGTCCTCTGAAAGCTCAAGAGCTTTCCTAGATGGGTCAGTGACAAGAGGGTGCTCTGTAAGAACTGATAATTATTATTCAAACATAGAAAAGCTTGCACTTAAAAATCTGAAACCGATATTACTTGCTTTTAAGAAACAAGTTTAAGTCATTTAAATTAATAATTTTAAAAGGTATCCCAGGGATGGGTTGGGAAGGTGAATTTCTACTGCTGAGGCAAGCAGGAGAGTTCATTACTGACTTGAATAAGCCAAGGGGTATAAAGCAGAATGTTCTCTGAACTTGTTTAATCTGTAGCAGAAGGTGACCCTCTCCCTGCAAGTGTTTGGAAATGAAGTAAAACTGTGGGTTGGGCTCTGGAGCTGCTGAGTTTGCCAATGATGTGGCTAATCTATGGTCCCGCCTGGGGCTCAGTCTCTTGACTGAGAATCCCGAAGAAGGCTGCTTCTTGCAGCTCAACCCCTTAACAGGCCTTCTCAGGAACTGTACCTGGGAGGAACCAGAGCTAAATCTGGATGGAAGCAAAGGAAACACTAATGCAAACCCACTTAATGGCAAGTGTCCTCTGGAACTTCAAACAAAAATCCTGCTCCTAAACTGCTGTACCCGAGGACAGAGTGGGAGCTAGGGCTCTGGAGAGCTGCCATTCCACACAAAAGCCACGGCTAACACGAAGAACAGAAAAACTACTTCTGAATCATGCCCAGTCCAGTGCACACACTCCATGTTTACAGCAGTCTTAGACATCTTCAGATTTTCTTTCCTGTGCAACCCCCTAACAGAGGAGAGAAGCAGACCAGCCAGAATACTAATTCTGACCAACCTGATGGTGAGTGAAAAAGCACGAACAGCCATGGTAGTATAATCACCTCAGTTTCCACACCAAGCAAAAAACTGCCCCAGACCCAAGCAGCACACAGACAGTCACTGAAGTAATGCTAGTCTTATGGAAATCTTCATGTTCTGGTGACCTAGGAGGGAAACAAGAAGCCCCTTTCCTGGTCCTAGTAAGGCTGTCCTTGTTAATGTTCAAGTCCAGCCCTCCTCTAGATAAAGGGTTCACAAGCACTTTACCTGAGTGCCAAACCCCATCCAACCCTGGTCTGTTCTCATCCCGTAATGTGCTGATGTGTTGACAGAAACAGGGTTCGTAATGTGCAGCTACTGAACCCATCAGTGTTTTAAAAATCACACATTTCCTCCCAGTAAAAACAAAACCATGTACCTATTTGAGTTAAAGAAACACCATGTAGATTAGCACCTGCTGTTGTCCTCTTCTATATGAAAAAATTCAAAATAAACTTTAAGATTGCAGCATTCTCTAAAGAAATATTAAAAAAAAATAGTCTTTCACCATTTTGAAACAGGCCAGGAAACTTGGACAGCCGAGGATGACTTTGAGCTCCTGCTCCTCCTGCTCCCATCCCTGGAGTGCTGGGACTACAGGCCTGTGCGCTACTATCCCAGCTCATGTGGTCTGGGGTTTAAACTGAGGGCCTCACTGGGTGTTGGTGGCGCATGCCTTTAATCCCAGCACTTGGGAGGCAGAGGCAGGCGGATCTCTGTGAGTTCGAGGCCAGCCTGGTCTACAGACCGAGTGCTAGGACAGGCTCCAAAGCTACACAGAGAACTCTGTCTCGAAAAACCAAAACCAAAACCAAAACCAACCAACCAAACAAAAAACAACACAAATAAAACTGAGGGCCTCTGGCATGCTAGTCTGACACTCTGCCAAATGAGCTATACCCCAGCTCAGAATAATATTTCTGATAGGCTAAAAAGATGAATAGGCTCAAAGGATAATCTGAGATTTAATATCTGGCAACAATGCTGAACTTTTGACTTCTGATCCTCTTACTATTGTTATTTTACTTTTTTCTCTTCATTCATGATAACACGATGGCTAGAGAGCCTCATCATATGTCCAAATATTTTGAAATTCAATCTTGCAATGCAGACGGGCTCTCAAGGGCTGCACAGTGTTAACAGTTACACTGCATTCATCACTACACTTATGTGACCAGATCTCTGTAATCTATAACCAGCACCTCAAGGCCTTCTCAATCTCAAAGCAAGACGTTACCACATTATATACTTCAGGCCACTGAAACTAATAATTGGACTAGGTTTTCTGTGGCACTTTTGAAGGGTTTGGAAGAATGAAGAAAAAACATTGCTAAGCTACAAACAAGAAACGATCTACACTTACATTCCCACTTCACTCAGTACAGGCCATTACTGCAGAGTCAAAAACCTCTTCTCTTATGAAGTAATTTAAACACTATGTGGCCTCAACTTGGAGAGGAGACAAAACCTGGTAAGACAGCTGTTAAGGGTCAAGGAAACACTCAAGTGGGAGTGGAGGCCTATGCTCCAAGCATAATGAGTTGCTTGGACATTTGTCTGACACAAAGAGGTTATTATGAAAAAACCCCTTTCAAAGGTTGTCGGTTGAGGCTCTGATGAGGTTGCTGAGATTCAAGATCTGACATAAAAGTCAACCTAAGGGGCAAATGACACTGGGAATGCATGCCTGGGACTTGGTGGAAAGGAGGGCTTGGTATCTATGCCTGGACTTCAAACAAAGAGGGCACTACACATGTTCTCTTATAATTATCCTACTATGTAGAAACACATACTCCATGCATATGGCTCTGTTATGTCTCACTCCGCATCCTTTACTTAAAAAATTCTTAAAGTTTATAACTTAAAAAACAAAACATTAACTTATTTGAGAAATGCTGTTTTTTTCAATATAAAATGATGTAGATCTTGCTTAAGGAGATTCAAGACCCTTTTTAAACATTATTTCTGTATATCCAACAACATAGAAGGTATGAACATTTTTGATGTGCACATTATATGTACATATGTGTGAATATATGTATATATATTTATATATATAATATTTGTTTAACCTGCAGCTAACTTTCTCTAATCCCTGGTAATTAAGCCTGCATTCCAGATGGCATGTCACACTCTGGAGAAAAACATGGATTTCTGTCCTATATTAAAGCCATTAGTGATAAGCTGGGTCATTCTTGCTGAGTCTACCATGAGTGTGGAATAACACCTGGAATGTGCCATCCTCACATTCTGGTTCTCTCTAGCAAGATTAATCATCGTTTATAAAAGGAAGAAATGCTTCAGTTTTTAGATTTCCTTCCCAAATGGAAGGGATAAATAAAAGAAGCAGCAATTTAAAGGTTAAAAGTGGTGATGAAATAACCCTGCCCACAGATTTGTTAGTATGGCAGATACATTCTTTATCCTAAGCAAAGATACAACTGACAAATAGAAAGAAAAATTTTAGTGGGAAATATTCACTGATTCCTGCTCTGTTGTAATTAGCCCTTTTCTGTATGGAAGAAAGGGTATTTATTCAGATAGATGGCTTATGAATGGCATACTTGAATAGCCTCTCCAGTGGAGAGTAAACCCTGTTGGTGCTGACTGCTCCCAGCACGGGGAGGCAAGGACAGTGCACATGTGAAAATGAAGATGCTAGACAGAGACACAAATATTTATAGTTCTGTCAACTCTACAGAGTAGTAAAAAAAAAAAAAAGGTAGGAGTAAAAATCAAAAAGTCCCATATCTGAAACAGAAAATTCCCATCTGTTATAGATGGAGGAAATGAACATACTGACAGGAGTTGAAAAGAAATCATTTCTAGTTCAGTTTTGGTGAAATCAACCATTCTTATCCATGTCCTCTGAAATGGTGACTCTCCAAATTAGAACCATCTTAGTTGATCTGATCAGAACCATCTTGGTTGATCAGTAGTATAAAGTACTGTTTTGTGTGGATCTTGGTATTTCATGTTTTCCTAATTTAGGTAAGGGACTGAGGGGAGGCTTTTAAACTGGCAGATGAATCCCTGAAAAAAACTCATTCTGACAAGGTCCTATTGCACTCCATGTGCTCCTATCCAATACAGAGTCTCTACCTACTGAACTGACAGGCTCATTTCTCACTCACACTCGACTCCTATTTTTCCTCCACTAAAAACTGCAGTGCTTTCAACAAGAGAAAAACAATAATAAAATAGTAATAATTAAAAAGGTACTCTACATTATTAACTCCCTTTTGGTATATTACAGTGGTATTTCTGTACATGGCCCAGAACTAAGTTCCCTATGTACATAGAGATGCTGGGGAAAGCATTGACACTGTTGGTCTTTGCTTTATGCCCTGAAAGACAAGGTTCCTTTCTTCATTTAAGAGTTTCTTTGCCATACTGCTATTTGAAGCAACATTCTGTAAACCTAGAGGGTTAAAAGGCTGGGGACAGGAGAGCTGGGCAACTTCCTTCTGTCTCCTCCCACAGTCTGTATTCACAAAGGCCATCAGCAGCTGCTGTTTTTGAATTCACCATTCTCCGTGATGGAAAGCTTGGTGGGGTTGGTGGGAGAGATGCCATTGCGGACCTGCATGCTGTACCGCTCCTTCACTTGAGTCAGTGCACTCATCAGTCTTGTGTTGGCTGAATCCAGGGACACGATCCGCTTTTCCTGTAACATACCAATCATGGCTTTATTCAGGCTGCATGGAGGAAGCCACTTTCTTTATTGAATGATTAGTCCGATACTTTCTCTCACAGCACAGTACACATGGTGCTCCCCAAACAAATGGAACGTCTCTGCCTCTTTCTGCACATTAGTTAAGTTCGGCCCCCCCTCCCCTTAATCTCTTTTTTCATTTCTGCCAACAGGACTTATTACCAATGACATATTGCTGCACTACTAGGCTGTCTTATGAAAATGGCACCATGGGTCAAGCTGCCTTTATGTAGTAAGTGCTTTTGTCAAAACTGAAACATGGAAATTAGGTGGCAAAGAAAGAAGCACCAGAGGTTTCATTTCACAGAAGAGAAGTGCATGTGATCCATGGATTCACCTCCCAAAGAAGGCATAACAGTCCCATTCGGGAAGAAGTCACATTGCTCAAATTAAAGCAATACGTGGTGGCAGTTTAGAGTCTCCAACAAGGTGAGGATGCAAGAGCAAGAGGAGATAAGAGCAGCCAGAAGCTCAGACCAAGGAGTTGTTTGAATATGGGGAGGGAGATGTGGCTGGAAGGGATGCTATAAACATAACACATGAGAACAGACAGAGAACACAGGCTCCTAGACCCATTCCAGCTCAGCTACTCCGGGAAAGCTGCCCAGTAAAGGGAATGCTTTCATTTTCTCTCAAGTTTTAAAACAAACAAACAAACAAACAAACAAACAAACAAAACAATGCTTTAGAGACAGTATTTTGGAGCTTCGGGTTGTTGTATATCCACATATTCACCAGAAAGGAGGAAGGAGGGACAAAAGGTATAGTAGGATAAAACATCAGTCTCACAAAAAATTAGTTGAGACTTTCATCTTTAAATCATCCCAGGACTTTCTCCAACAAACACAAAGTACCTATTTTTTCAGAAAATAATGACCGAGAAGGACAATCTTTACCTATGCTCATAAATTGAAAAGAAAATGGCCCATGGGGATCAACCCTAACACCTTTCCTGGGAGTTTCTGAGTCTACCCAGTGAGATGAGGGACAAGTTTTAGCCATGGTAGGGTTTAAACAGCAGCAAGAGGGCTGAAGCTTGAAGCTTGCTGCTGCTCCAGTTGTGAAAGCAGAAGCTACACAGGGCTGCTGACCTAGGACTGCTCTGCTGGAACACACACTGCCAGGAGCAAGCCTAGTGATGGCGCTGGGGGAAGTCTGGGTAAAGCCATAGCTGACTACAGCACCAATCAATACTTGCCTCTGTCTCTCTGTCTGTCTGTCTGTCTGTCTGTCTGTCTGTCTGTCTGTCTGTCTGTCTGTCTCTTTGCCGGGGATAAGGAAGGTGTCTCTATGGCAGCAGAGGTGGTAACTACAGTTGCAAACGTGTGAAAAAACAAAGACAACCTAACCCTTACTATTACTACTCATTAAAATAATTCAATTTTAGTTGTAAAACTCAGGTGGTAAGACATACAAAATCAGTATTATTAACTATCCACTTACTATATAAGATTTTTTTTAAAAGAAAGGTGACTTGTTTTAAGAACAGGAAAAACTCAAAGAAAGATTTACAAAACTTTTGAAAGTATTAAAAATTATAGCTAGTGGAATTTAGTGAGAAAAAAATACAGTATTTTTCAAAGACAATAAGTAAGGGCAGGGCAAAAAAAAGAAAAAAAAAACAGGTAGATTTCAAATATAATGCCCTTCCTCATAGTGAGGAATGACTCCTAAACAGAATAAATGGTATTTAAATTTTTAATAAATATTTGTTTAATTTTGATACATTTCTTATATATTATATAATAATGGAAAAGTTGTACCATTAGTGATAATTTCTTAAAATAGATAAGGAAAGATATTTCAGTATTGGGACAAATGACAAGGCCCCAATCCTAAGGAAAACAGAATTCTTGGGGTTCATAAAAAATTAAGCATTCACAAAAACAGAACAAAACAAGACAATCTTCTACCCTCTCAAAAAATCAAATTGAGTCTTAAAGGGTCAAAAAAGAGCCTGAGAATGTCTATAATTACATATTGCCTCCAAATAATAACTGATATCAAACAACCTATCCTTCTAGACACCTGAAAGTTTCTAAGCAGAGAAATTCCCTTTGTAGTTCCCCCATTATCAACCTCTCAAATAAAACAGAAATTAAAGGAAAAACAAACAAACAAACAAACACCTCTTCCCCATTAAAAAACCTCAAGCAGGAAATGGGATCTTTTGATATTAAAGTTCAGTTGCAAAAGTTGCTATGACATTTGATTCTGCCTGGTTTAGAACACAAAGCCATCTAACATGCCTGAAAGGAAGGACTCAACATGGGAGTACCAGGAGCTGGAATGTGTAGGAGGCCAGTGCACTGGCCAGGGCTAGGAACTGCTCAGCTAGAGAACGCACAGGGATTACTTGCCTGTTTGAATAATCTCATTTCCATTTATGACCTGTAATTTAACACAGTGGAAATATCACTTGCAATAGTAACTAGGCAGCTGCTTTGTTTCTCATAGGAAGAAGCCCCTTTCTGTTCTGTTCTCCATCTAGTCACATGGAGAGATCCAGGAGTTATAAGCCCTCATGCCTGGAGGGAGGGAAGGTGCCACACTTCATGGATATATATAATATAAGATATATATAAAGATTCCTTGGTGTCATCACTGTGAGGTTCAGCACTGGTGATTCTGTCACTCATCCTTTTGCAGTTCTGCAGAAAGGGACTCATATGCACCTGTGCTTTGTAGCATGAGCTGACTCAAGGAGAGGGAGAAGCTGAATTCCCCAACAAGGCTGCTGAGAGAGATGAAAAGCATTCCTGGGGTACCTGAGTGTTAGTGTTCTGATAAGTGCTACAATTAATCCTAGCACAAAGAAAGTCACTGTTTCCATTTAGAAATACTTTTTACTATTATTGGCACTAAGCCATATGCTGCGGATATAAAATTATGTGTAACCTCCTAGGGAGACTATTATTTCCAAGCATGTCTGCATTTAAGAAATGATCCAACAATCACTTAAGAGTCAAGGTTCGTTCTCACAGAAAAGCATCTGATAAAAAGTCATTCATTACAAAGGCTATCTAAGTATGTACAGTCTTTTGCTCTTTTGTGATTCTATGTACCAGCAAGCCAATAGCTTGGACTGAGAATGTTCCCTTTTAAGACACTATTATATTTTTAACCGACTTTGGAATTTATGATTGGTGCTGCACCTAGTGCAGTGGTTTTCAAATGTGGTCCAGTAGAAAGTCTGAGTATTCTTTAGGGATCTATACCCACTTTTGTACAGAAATTTATGCTATAATAAAGCCTATGCTTTAGTGGGAAACATATCACATTTAATGAACACCAGTATGTTCTGACCCATTAGTTGAGAGTGGTCTTCATGGTTGAATGGTCAGTGGGAGCATTGGTTTATGAAGGGGGTCTTGGTTCCATTGAAACAGTCCAGAGAACCAAGTGTTTTGAAAACCAAACTGCCACTGGCCAGACTGTAAATCTGACTGTCTGAGCTGCAAGGATACCATTTCTTCCTTCTCTGCACAGTGCCACCATCTGATGGATTAACTGAGAGCTTTTGACTCTTGGTTAATCAAATTTCCTTCCTGGACTTCACCTTTAGTACCCACAGCTTTTGCTTTATACTCAGATCAAGCCTGGGGACAGGTAGAGTAGAGACTCCCTAGAAGTTAGTGACAGGGGTGTCCTGTCAGCCAGCATACACAGAGTCATACTGTATTGCTGACAAGTTCCCTCTGCTTAAGACTGACTGCATTTTATTGGCTGAAATCTATTCTATCTCAGCACTAAAATCTCTCTGTATCATTACTAATAAGGCTCACCCTGCTTTATACTGATATTGAGAATCCAAAGCGGAACTTTTCAGCATTAGTTTTCATGATGAAGTTGCCTTCTGTATCTACACTGTTTCTCTTAAGTTTATGGAGTGATTTCTTTAATAGGATATAGCAAGATGACCTTGTTTCTACTATTCTTCCCTCACTTACCTTGGGGATACCTAGAAAGAGTAAAAAAGTTAAAACAGCAAGTAAAGTACTTATAACATTTCTCTGGTTCAAAAGAGGCCAAAATATCCAGAATTTGAGTCTAAAACATTTTGGCAGTTATGCATGTGAGAAAGCATCACAACTCCTAATTGTTTCTAAATCTAGTGAGCTCCAACATGGATGAAGCCTGTGAAACACTCTTCCTATGGCTATGCTCACAGCTTGATAAATAAGCCTCATCTTACACTGTCCTCATAAGGAAACTCAAATGTTGAAGGGCACATTTAAGAATATGGGGGCTCTAGTATATACTGACTAGTGGTTGATACATAGAGAATAAAGTAGAATGCTCTCATTATTATTTTATAGCTTAAAAATGAGAAATGTAAACTTGGCTAGTTGTCCCTAGAGAAGTGATATACTCAGTGGTTAGATGGACCACTATCAAAACTGTAATTGCCTTTTGCAATTTATTTCCCTTTAGGAAATAAGTCATACTCTATAGTGATAAAGCAACAATGAGTTGAAAACATTTCTGAAATCCTGGATTTTGCTCTGATCACTGGTGTCCTTGTGAAGGGCTCTTGGAGGCTATCATCCCACTAGGTGTAAGCTATCACAGATTCTAATTTTATCAACCTTCTTTAAATATTCAAAGAGGTTCTCTAAGCATAGCATCAACAAAGAAGAGCAGCCAAGCACATTCCAAACAGCAATGCCAAACTCTGAACCAAAAGAATAACAAGGAAAACTATCTTCTACAACCTTATCTTTCCTCTACAATTTCTTTGCTAGGACTAGGCGCTGATGGCAGTGGATGCGACTGACAAGATCATGAAGAACACAGCCAAGCAATGGTCAGTGGAGATCACAGGAGACACATGCAGTGCATTTCTTACAGTTATCCTCTTAGAGAATGCCCTCCTTTCCACAAGGAAGGAAGCCAACTTCATCACATACTAGGCTAAGATGTGTTAAACAACTATACTAAATACACAATAATTTGCATGCTAATAACGATGCTATGTCATCAAAAAAAACTGAGGTCATATGGAAACTCATTTAATATTCAAAGGATAATGCCGAGAAACTTTCAGTGTCTCATTTTCTACTGCTTTGCCATTTGCAAGGGTGGGAAGTCAGTAAATAACAGGTATTAAAAACAAGTGCTTTCTTCTAAGCACAGGACCTGCTTACCTGTGCATCAATGATTTTCTGCTTTGCATCAATAACTGCTTGCATCTCAGCATGATCCTTCTTTAATTCCTCTTCGACAGCCATTAGCCTAGAATGTGATAGGAAGAGGGTTTCAATATTTTCAAAGACAGGGCTAGGTAATATAGAGATTGAGAAACTTAAAACTGGTGGTTCCCAATAGAAGACCTATTTGATTGCAATAACCTTTTCTTTCTCTTCCTCCTCTCCCATCTTCCCCGAAAGACAACATCCTAAGTTGATTCTAAATTTTACCTGTGGCTAGGCTCCATAACATTATATTTTCTTGAGAACAGTATTCTCATAATCATCATCTTCCTATTAGATCACTCCCTTAGCAAACATCTTAATAGCAAATGAACAACAAAAAACCAAAATGGTTATCTGCTTTTTAAATTATTCATTTATTTTTGAGACAGTATCTCACGTAGTCCAAGCTAGCCTTAAATTTGCTATGTAGCTGATGCTGGCCCTGAATTCCTGGTACTCCTACTTCTACCTCCTGAATGCTGGAATTATAATGGGCAAGCACCACTATGCTTGGATGCAAACCATCTCCTCTTACTCTCAAGTTACACTGTTTATCATCCTACCCTCTTCCCTTGCATAGCTATGTTGTCTACAGGATGTTCTAGTAGATCTCATTTCTCATCTACTCCTCACATCTCAACCCACTTATGCATAACTCCTCAGTTCTACTCCTATGGCTCTCAGTATGAGGTCAGTTGTTGCCAGGCTATTAAAACAGCAACCCCTTTTCTGTTCTTCTCTTTCTTTGTCCACAGCATGTGGCAATACTGAAGCTAGTGGTTATGAATCTGGAGTCTGATCCATGGCTCAAACCTTAGGTCTCCACTACATTACCTTGGACAAGCAACTGTTGCCAGTTTCTCTATCTGTAGACAAGCAATAATAATATCTGTTTCAGAGACCAAGATGGAAATAAAACAAAGTACTATTTATAAAGTGCTTAGAAAAATGTTTGACCTATAGTGAGTGCTCTGCAAATACAGGCAAATGGGTCTCTTCTTGGCTCTCCTTTGTTGGTATTCATGGCACTTTTTTGGTCCTCTGGCCCTAAAGACATTCAGTGGGACTTTGTTTTTGAACTTGTCTGGGCAAATTGAGTTAAATCTTAGATACAGATTAAAAAAAAAAAAACACACAACTTTCACCTAAAACTTCAAAATAAATTCCTAATTCCCCCCCCCCCCCCAATATTGCTATGGTTAAAGAAAAAGCCTACCTTTTCTTCATTGTAAGTACATCAGATCTCATTTTGGTTTCATACCTTCGAGTCTCAGTCATTACACTTATATCAAGTACCATAGAATATACACACATGGATGAAAATGGCTTTTTTGGGGGGGGTGTAGGGCTATTCTTTTGAAAGTATTTGGATCATCTCCCCAGGTCTTTGTACCTAACTAGACCCAATCAGCTAGTAGGTGGTCTTCTAACCTGCTAATGATGCTTTTCATCTGGCTGTCCTTCTCCTCCTGCTGTCTGCGCAGCCGCTCTTCACTGTCCTCCAGCCGAGCCTTGTACTCCAGCAGCAGCTTCTGCATCTGCTGCTCCTGCACCAGTAGCCGGCGCTCATACTCCTCTAGCCGCCTGCTGGACACTCTCAGGCGCTCTTTCAATTTGCTAATTTCTTGTTCATACTGGCAAGGGGAAGAGGCATGGATGACAGGAATTATATTGGTATTGAAGTTACTGATACACTTTCTAGCCAGAGAACCCAAGGTGATGTGGTAGATGCTGTCTGATCTGCCATGTTCTTGCTGCTGCCCAGGTTATTTAAAAGCACTGGCTGACATAAATGTTAGGCACTGTCATGTGTCTAAAATTACATTATGAATCTTAACTTGGCATTATGAATTCTATAGTTTTACGCACTTTTTTCACATTAAACTAGCAGTTGTGGCAAGTTACATCCAATCTGTAACAGTATCAAAAAGAAGGGAGAAAGAAAAATAAAATGATTGAGTAGTTAGAAGACTGACAAATGACTCAAGCCAAAAGCTAGCTGTCTGCAAGAGAAAGACTTACATGTCATCACCTGTACTGCAGGATTCCTGCCACTGGGGCTCATTAGACTATCTTTACTCTACTAGAGTTACCCTTTAGACAATTCAGACAACAAGTAACATTTCTGTTAAGCAACTAAACCAGTTAATACAATGTCATGACGGAACAGGTGATTACTGCTTTTCCCTTAATTATAAAAGTGTCACGTATTCAGGTCATAAGCAATGACAAGGGCCTACAACTTCTTGAGGACTAACTGTCTCCTCCTGGATTTTCATGATGTGGTTTCATCTGTCTGATCTGGTACCATCTGCTGGAATTTATCCATGGTCTCACTAGCCTTCTATAAATTCTGTAATTCAGCTGGTTACTTGGCACTTTCCTGTACTAAAGTTCCTGTGGATGGGGTTGTTAGTACAATAGAAACTGAGACTGTCCAGACAAGGTGAGAAACATGAGCTTCCTTATGGGTGGGCTAATATAATAGTCATTAGTAACAGTCATTAGTAAGCTAATGATAAATATATGCAGTGTTTGGCAAAACACAATTTACGTAATAACATCTCACTTAACCAGCAAAAAGACAACTAGCTGCTCCTTATCCATGTTATGCTCTACATCATGCTGGTTATTCTAGAAAGCTGAAGCAGAGAGCTTTCTGACAGCTCTGAAAAGCTAGGCTGCATCATTAGGTATAGGTTATGATTTTCTAACCAAAAAAAGGTTAATTGTCTGGTGGTCAATTAAATGTAATGTTAAGGTTATTTCTTAATTTTTCCAGGACTGTTTTTCTTTAAAAATAAGTAAATAAATAAATGAATAACTAAGCAAATAAATAGATAAATAGATAAATAAATGTCCTTAACTCCAGAGGTGGAGGCCAGAAGGCTGAATTTGAAGTCAGTATGAGGGTATGTGTGAGATCCTATCTCAGAAAACAAACAAATACATATAACCTGCAAAATATTATATGAAACCCATCAAGCAGCATATATCTTTTAAATAATAATCTGTATAGCTAGACAGTCTTTATTCACAAAAGACAAAAAACCCAACAGAACAACTAAAATATAAATTGACTGTTCCCAAGATTTAGATTGTCTAGTCCTAACATAAATTGTGAACTTGAAGACCAAAGTTTATAGAAATAATAAATGTTCAACCAAAATGGTTAGAAACAGTACTGGAGTGCTTTCCAAATTAAAGCAACCTACATTGAAAATTAGTCACTCGTCTCCTCCTTAACATAATAGACGCTGTCCATATACTCACAGAGCCACTACTGACCTATAATACACAGATGTGATGGTTAACACGAGGAATAGAAACAAAGGCCTGGGCTATGCAGTGAATCCCAGGCCAAGTTTCATTTTTCCACTTTTGTTTTTAATCACATATCAGTTGTGGGGTCATTAAGTCAACAAAGACAAATTAAGTTCTACCTTCTCAGCATGCTTGGCTTCATCTTGATTTTGTTCCGTTTCTTCCACATCCTCTTCATACTGTCCATTGTTCAGAACCCAGGCAGCTGTCCTTTCTACTGGAGACATTGTGGCAGAATCCACAGGTGATTGAACCTACATCAGAGATTTTTATTACTAGTTATGCTTCAGAAAGAAAATTACATAATTGTGATGACTCGTAATAAGTGCCTTCAGTTTTAGATAATTGTCTACTAATGCTAGGGCCAGGGAGTAGGGAAAGAGAACATGCATCTGTATAAGCACAAACCAATCTGAATTCATATTTATAGCTTCCAAGAACCATTTTTTTTTCTGATAAAGAAAGCCTTGACATTGCTAATTTGCTCAACAAAACAAGTGTTGTCAGCTGTGATGTTAACCCACTGAAGCTAAGATGACAGAACAAAAGAAAGGACAAGCTGAGTGTTTAGATGATGGGATGTCTGTTGAAGCAGGGACAACCATGGACTAAAGAACTGGCTGATGCTAAGCAAGCTCACAGATGTACGTATCAGAATGCCAATACTGAGCTTTTATATTTACCATTCAGAAAAAGAGAAGTGGTGGTATTTATTACTTTTCTAGAACCTGACTTCCTGGTATGTTAGGACCATTAAAGAGTCTGTGTTTTGGGTTAAGGAACTTTCTTGGCCTTTTGTCTGTCTGTCTGTTTGTTTACTTAGGTATGTCAGCTATGGAACCCAACGCTTTGTATGTGCTCTAGGCAAGTGCTCTACTACTAAACTATGTCCTCAGCACTACAAAGTTTGTTAAGAACCTAAGATCAAACTATGAATTCCAGAGAGTCTAAGCCTCTAAGGCATGTTTCTATCTAGTTAAGACAGCAAGATAAACTGTCTTTCTTATCTTTCTCAAGTTATACAGAATGTTAAAAATTCTAGTCTTGAGAAGCCACTCTGCCACTTAGTAGGTAAAACTAATCTCTTAAATTCTATTTTCCTCATCTATTAAATGAAGATGCCACCACTGTCACAATTCCCATAACCTACCTGATCATCTCACAGAGAATTCTGAGGACTGGTAAAACAGTATATGTGAAAGTTCTTTGGTAACTTAAGAGTGTTAGTTTCTAGGCTGCCAGAGACAGGAATAAAATGTATATATGTTACATGTGTGTGTATGAGGGCGAGGAATGATGGAGAGGAAGGGGGAGTGAGTGTATGTGCAATAGCAAAAAATCTGTGTTTGTGTTAGCTTTTTATAATGAAAATGGATTTATATTTTGAGGAAAAACTCTAATTTCATAATTGAAGAGAATTTCCTCTCCCATTCAAAACTATACTTTAAGAAACTGTAACATTCTAGACTAGAACTCAGTTAACTCTAAATTAAAGCAGATTATGATGACTCTGAGGATTAGAAGGTAAGATGAAAAGCCTGTCTTCAGAGACTTTATAAATACACACAGGACTAATATAGGCTGTCTTAAAGGTTTGAAGAACTCTGCTCAGTAAGAATGGTTTTATGCTTGAGGAAGGATGAAGCTTATGTAAGTAGACACACACACACACACACACACACACACACACACACACACACACACAATTGTGAATGAATGTGCAGAAATTCCCTCTCTAAAGTCATGATTTTACATTTGTACATGTTTTAATCTTAAAATTCAGTACCCTTTGTACTTAGAATCCTATTTCCACTTGTACTACAGTTTCAGAAATGTTTATTATACCTCATCTATTTGTGGGTTACTTTTTGCTGTATCTACCTTATTGCTAACATTTATCTCTTTTTAAAATGACCTTTTATAGTTATATAAGCCCTTACACTAAGCAATATCAGTAGAGCCATGAGTTTGATACTATATAACTATGTACTTATATATTCAGATATTAGTATGTATCATTTATATAACTAAGTATATACCTATGTATACTTAAATAATTTTGAATATCATACTTTGAGAACTCTGGCCTATAGGATACAGTGTCATCTACAAAAGGAAAGAACTATTCATATCAAAAGTTCTGAGATCTGAGTGTGGTGGCATATGCCTCTAGTCCTAGCACTGGGGAGGTAGAGGCAGGCACCCCTGTGTGTTCAAGGTCTGTCTGGTCTTCATTGTGAATTTCAGAACAGCTAAGATTATATATAGAGAGATCCTGTCACAAAAAACCCAAAACTTATAAGAAAAACAAGACAGAGAGTGAAACATTTTGTAATTTGCAAGTCTTTATACACAAATACACGTGTAGTTCTCCACATGCTGGGTGTGAAAAACAGAGTACAATGAACTGTTTCTATACTGATTAAGAAAAATGGAAGCATTGGGTTTAATTTTCTGATATAAAACAAAAAGGTAGCACTATCTTAACTCATAGATACCAATATTTAAAGGAGACAAATAGTTTTACAATCAAATTACTTTAGCACAGTTAGGATAGATAGAAGCTGCTGGACTAGGATTTTTCTGTTTAACAGCAGTTTGAGATGAAGTAGCTACTTTATAAGCTACTAATAACCTTACTATTAAGAACTTATTAAGGCAGCTATTGATAGCTTCCTGCTTTCAGTGATCAATGAGATGTTACTTGAACAAACTTTCCCTGTCATTTGTTATGGGTAACTTATTAACTATAAATCTTCTTAGTTCTAAACTATTAGTGTGCCTAAAAGCATACAAAGGAAAAAGATCTCAGCTTGAAAAGCATATTAAAAACAAGACAGCAAAAGCAATGTAGGTGATCTAGGCTTGACATGTTATGTGAGATTTTACAGTAAGGGTTGGTTCACACCCCTGATGATGGTGGCAACTATTGTATTTTTAGGAGGACTAATACAATAACCAGTGAATTGTGAGAGATTGTGCAATGGGAACTGGACATCTCAACTCTCTTCCTATTTTATTGGTTGAATCTTACTCTGGGTAAATCATCAAAATATTAAGATAGGTAAAATTGACAGGACAGGTCAGGTCAGGTCAGCTTTATTCTTTCTGTTTATGTCACATCCTTTAGAAAATCATGAGTAGAAAATAATATGGAGGAAGTCAAAAGAAGTTACTGTACTAGAGTGGAAGAAAATAGAGGTAATCTTGGTTCAAAAGTGTTAGAATATGTGCACTACATGAAAAAATCTATAAATTGTCTTCTAAAGTTTTTCTTTTTAAAAAACATACTTATTTGGATCTGGAGTTAAAGGTCGATGAGCAGCCACATAGGTGCTGGGAATCCAACCTGGGTCCTCTGCAAGAGCATTTAGTACTCTTAATCATGGAGTTATTTTTCCAGCCCTGTTATTATTTTTTTTCTTTAGTTTCACATGTGCTGGTCTTCTTAATTACATCACCACCAAACAAACAGCACTACATCATACAATTCTTTTGAACAACAGTGACTAATTCAATGTACAAGAAATGCTTAATAAAATTTTATAGATAAACATTGAGTTTTCTTCAGAATTCACTGCTAAAATAAAATGTGTTGTTAAGAGAAGGACACTGTTCTTCCTGTAGTTTTTTGGAAAGGCTTTCAAAGGCTTTCCATTAACAATTATCCCAGTTCCTTTTTATAAGCTGGATATATAACAAAGCTCATTATTTCTAATTCATAGTCAAAGAAATGGAAGAGTGTGGCTGGTAAGGGGTTCAGATTTCATCTTGCTTAGTTACAGCCTTAGGACGATCATTTATAGTTACTTAACTTTTAAGAGGTCATGAACAAAAATGAAGGGTGAAAAAGACAGGAAAGGGAGGACATTCTACAATCTCCTTTGAGCTGATGCTAGGTAGGCTTCCCTGGGAAAAAATATGCTCTAGGGTAAAAAGGCCTGACACACAATTTCACCGATACTACAGTTAGTTCTAGCCTGGCTTTGCCGAGACAGCTGGGAACAGGTCAGTTTTCCTGCTCCTTGCTAGTGTTCATGAGGTAAAAACAACACTTGTTGACTTCAGTTTTCTTTACAGTCTGATATAAATGAATAATCAGTTTGGTATCAATACCAAAGTAACTAAACTCTGACAGTTCTTAAAGAGTTTGGTTGAAAGAGGTCTCAAATCCAAATGTGAAAACTGCAATGTGACAATGGAGAGCTTGTCACATGCCTATTTAAAAGGCCTTTGCAAATCCATTTCTGACATACTAAGTCTCCCATATTTAAAATAAAGTCTATTATTTGTACAAGATACATGACATGGAATAAATAAATAAATAGATGAGAATGAGAAAAAAAAAAAAAGAAATGCAGGCAGAGGTTCAAAGGGGTCAAAATATTTAGAATTTCCTGAGAAAGAATTGTTTCTTAGTAAAGTATTTCACTAGGATTTTATTTCCTTCCTACTCACTATTTGAGAATATTGAAGCCAGTCACACTGCCAACAAAGGCCTCTCCTTTGTGCTAAGACACAAATGGAATCTGCATGGGACACAGCCACTGGTGATTACACTGCCAACAAAACAATCCCCACAAAGAAACCCTCTAGGTTGGGAGAAAGAAAAAATTCCCAAACACTATTTGCAATTAAAATATGTATTTGCCTTAAAAATGTGCTGATTATAGAGAGGACTCATGTGAGATTAAAAAAAAAAAACAAGAAATGGAAAGATAAGAATAAAAAGAATAACAAGTTCAAAAGAATAAACCATTTACTTATTGGATAGAAAACATCATTGTGGAAAATTCACAAACTTGAGCAATCAAAACAGCAGGTTTCAACTTCTATGATAGTGGCTGTTATCAGCAGGATATAAATGAAGATGAAATATTTCAAATCTGGGCTAGGACAGCTCACTGTTGCTGTGCCCCAGTTCATGGAAGTATAGACATTCCCTAATTCATTAATGGCTGTGACAGAAAAATTAAAATTTGTTTTTGGAGATGATAAACATCTAGGAAGTCTTATATTCACTGTGGAAGCATATGTTTTGTTCTTGTATGATAGATGTTATGTTTTTCTATTAAAAAATATTATAAGTAGCAATTGATCTTAGGCAAATTCGTAAGAATTATAAGCACAAATACTACGTGATAGGACTACATGATAGAGGAAAGAAAAATGGCAAGGCAGAAGTAATAGGAAAAAAATTTAAAACATGTTTTGGAAAAAGTTTATTTAGTACCCTGCATGGGGCAGTTGGGTGGATCATATAGCAAAAGTACTGCCTGCCCGAAGAAGAGATTTTTGATTTCCTTTTCTTTTCAGGACTGGACCTAATCAATGTCCTTACCAATGAGAACTTTTCTACTTCTACCCTATCCTCACTGTCCTTCAGCTGCTCTAAGCTTTTATATAGCATTTCATCTCTAAAATTACTTAGCTGTCAATTCTTCTGCCAATAAATACTTTAACTCCCTGAAAGCAGTTACTATCAACTGGAAGCTAGCACAGAAATGTGATCAAATTAAATTACAAGAAGGCTTAAATAAATGAAGGCCTTCCACCAAAATCCATGTACATTTCTGTATAAATCTATGTGTGTATGTAAAAGACATGCTGGCCAGCTGTGGTGGTACCGGCCTGGGGAACCCTAAGGGAAACAAGTAGGATGACCATAGTTCCTAGCCAGCTTAAGCTACAGGCGTATGCATGATTTTTCCTTAGATGATCCTATTAGATCACACGAATCAGCACAATCTTGTGAAATACAATAAACTAAAAGGAAGAATTTAACTTGAGGAGCTTTCTTCCTCCAGAAAGTATAATCACCTGAGGCACTCTTCCTTGGAAGTTGGCTTCCTGAATAAGTTTAAGCTCATCCTCAACTTCTGTATCTAAGGATTCTGCAAATGTCCAACTTTTAAAATAAATACCAATGCAAGGGCAGGGGGAAGGGTTCTTACCATATTAGCAACAAGGCAGAGCTAACTAAATCAGGAAGCACCTCGCTGTAACAATGTAGCTATATCAACAGATGAGTTGAGATTTTATTATAGTCTTCCTGAGCAGCTAGTTTGTTACCTAAAAGTATGTCATAGAATTCTTTTAATCATGAACTCTTTAGAACTTACACAGTATAAATATGTTTCAAAAAAATTCCACGAGAGAGGGCAGGGACTCACCAGCCCTCACCCAAAGCTAGAGAGCTATTAACAGTTGATAGCTTCTGGTAGGAAGGTTAAAATTTATTTTTAAAGGAATGTGGTCCCTAGTAGGTACACTCCACTCTAGTGGATGACCCCATACCCATGATAATGCATGAAGCTGGAAGGGTACGGAAGGTAGATGGTGAGGAGATGGGTGTGGGAGAAAAATATGATCAAAATACACTGTTTTCATGTATTAAATTCTCAAAGAATTAACAAAAATATACACATAGTATACACAGAAGTCACAAAACTAGTTAAGGGGCTGTGTGGAGGGATTTCAAGTGAAGGAGATAGACTTCAGGTAGTATGAAGGAAGAAAGGGGAAATAATGGGACAGGAAGGGTTAAATGGTGGTGTGGGATGGGAAGGGATCATAGTTTGTATAACTAAAACTAAAGACCTCCAAGAATGCCCCATGGAAACCCATTACTGTAGATGCTTACACACACACACACACACACACACACACACACACACACACACACACACCCTTATTTATATGAGGAATTCAAATGGAATTTCTTGATATGGGTGGTACATGGGGAGAGGAGGCTATACCTCTCTCAAGCACTATACACCATAAGCTATCAATAAAAGGGCCAGTGCCAAGTCAGGTTACCTTTTTTTTTTTTTTTTTTTTGAAATGTTAGTTAGCAGAACCCCACAGACCCCAGGCAAATATTAGAGCATATTGCCACTGCTCTTGGTTTCCCTCTAGAACTTGAAAGATGATCTATTGCTGAAGACACTTGAGCCATAGGACAATCAAGCTTCTAGAGATGACCTGGAAGCTTCATCCCTAACGACCAGTTTTCACAGTGCTGGAAGGTTCTATGCATGCTATTGGGGGGGGGGGGGAAAATCAGTAGTCTTCCCAGCTGTGAACCCTGGTAGCTACAATAACAACTGGCTTTTCAAGATATGTCTAAAGAGCGGGGCTAAAAAGAGGGCTCTGCGGTTAAGAGTACTGACTGTTCTTCCAGAGGACCCTCGTTAAATTCTCAACACCCACACGGCAGCTCACAACTGTCTGTAGTTCCAGTTTCAGGGAGCCTGACACCCTCACACAAGCATATATGCAGGCAAAACACCAATGCACATTTTAAAAAAAAGTATGTCTAAAGAGCAACAATCTCTTGGGATTTAAAGACCCTTCTCTAGAATTCATGCCTGGTAGTATTAACTGGGCCCAAATCCCATCACTGGTTAGGTGATAGGCCATAGGGAACAACCTAATATTATTCTGCTAAATGAACACAGTAAGAAACCGATACCCTTCATTTCTTATCTTTATATCAATACATTAGTGCATCTCTCATCCCTAATGAGAGAAGCTTCTTTTTGTAGTAGATGGTGATTAATACAGTGACCTACAACTGGTCAGTGTGTAGAGAATAAAGACTCTGGAATGTTCAGCTCTAAATGGGACATCAATAGCACACATCTCCCCTCTTTAAGGCTCAGGGATCATCATGGAAGAAGGGGCAGAAAGACTGTAAGAAACAGATGTCGATGATTTTGTGAAACATTATTTGCTGGACATGACAGAACCACCACACACATTAACTCATAGCAACTGTGGCTGTGTATACAAGATTAAGTCAGCCCAAATCCCAACATATCTGGATAAGGGATCATTAAGTCCTATGACTCGATGAGATGCCACTGGCACCTGACTGTTGCTGGATGAGGGAGAGGAAAGTTGTCTTTAGGGATATGGCTCTTGAAAAACTACCCATGTTCCAGTAGGTAGTCCTATACCTGAGTGTTTTTTTTTTTTTTTTTTTAAAGAGCAAACACATGGAACTGGGACAGAAAAGTAGTGTTGGAGGATAGGGGAGGGGCTAAGGGGAGGCAATGGGGACGGGTTTAATCAAAATACATTATATGCAAACTCTCAAAGAAAAAAAATACTCAAGCCAGGTACAGTGGTGCAAAGATATAATCCCAGTACTTGGGAGGCAGAGGCAGGCTGATTTCTGTGAGCTCAAGGCCAGCCAGGGTTACTCAGTAAGACCTGTCTCCAAAAGTAAGTAAATAATAAAATAAAAATATTATATTAAAAATTTCCACAAATACAAAAAATTTTAAAGGGAAACCCCTTTTAGGTGAAAGAAACACACATGGTGGCGGTGGGGGGGGGAGTGGAAGAAAGAGAGACCTTTAAAGATATTAGTTCATATCTAAGGGCAAAATATGTATCAATGATTCAAAGTGGCATACATAATGGAAGAAATTATTGAATTTTGGGCAAATAAATAAAATTTCAAAATGTTGTATCAGGATTGGTATGACATTAGCTAGACATGTCCATGTGTCTGGTAATATAAAGGATGTGCAAGTATTCCAAGTACTTATCAACCATCATGTTTCTATATCTTTTCTTCTTTCCCTTGCCTCTCTAGGTGTTCAGTTGTTTATTTTTCGGGCTATTTCCAGGAAAAGGCACATGGGACCTGGCATTTCCATAGGGAATTGGGGGATGAAGTGGAGAGCAGTTAACATTAAACTGTAAGCTCAGAATACAAAACTATATTCTGGAATCTTAAGGAAAAAATTAAGAAGGGTACATTTCCAGATTGCCTAAATAAAGGTGATTTTGACTGTAGTCTCCTATATAACTGTATAATTATTCACCCAATGCCACAGCTCTGGTCTAAGCTGCCCGAAGAGGCAGCTCTGTTCCTCATAGAAAAGAAAAGCCTCTTGAGTGTTTGTTAGAGTCTCCTAAGGGTAACCAGTCAAGTTCTGCTCTGTTCTCATCTAGTCAGAACCTTCTAAAACAGAACCTTTCTTCTGTTTAAAGGTTACAGAAACATTCTTAAGTGGAAACCTTGTTACCAGTTTGATTTCTGGACACCATATTATATATATAGAAACCTAATTGTCCATCCAAGCAGAAGCCAAAGCCCTCTAGCATACTTTACCTGCTGTGTCTGTTGTCTCTGGATTGCTCTCACTTTGGGAACAGGGCTCTCTCTGGAGGAAGAGGACTGCTGCCTGGATCGGCTCCCATTCTGCACAGGTTCAGCCACCAGTGCTGCAGATGCCACTGACATGCTCCCTGTGCTGCGTAAGGAAGCACTATGTGGGAGGGATGGGGGTGCTTTGGCTCGGGCACCTAACCCAGCCTGGTCCATTTTCCGAATTTGGGACTGCCCAGTACTATTTTGTCGTGGTAGAGCAAGAGGTATGTGTCTGTCTGGTACAGTGTGCCGCCTGGAATAGTCTTCACTGTGCGTGCTTCTTTTGGTGAAATCTTCCATGCTGCTATTGCTGGGTCCACTGAGTTTGAAGTCTTCACTATTGCTTTGGCTTCTAGAACTGGCAGTGCTTAGGTTCTCCAAACTAGAATCTACAGAGGCCTTTGGCATTGTTGGAACTGGATTGTTGAGGTGATAGACAGGGTTCTGGAATGACAAGGGCTGGAGACTTCCTGGCTGGTTCAAGGCTGGGTGCAAGGGTCTTCTTACTTGAGGTGCGCTCTGGGGAGTGCTCTGGGTTTCCCGAAGTTGTTTGATGCTAGCCACCTGGGTTATAGACAGTTGGCTTCCTGCGAGGCGCATAGGCACATCAAGCATGACAGACGCATGCTCCACCTGAGCAGCATGAGTGTCCTGCAGGTCCATGAGGGAGATGCTCCGACCATTAGGAAGGCTGTTTTCCTTTTCATCCTTTTCGGAGTAAGTCATACTCTGGGAGGAGGCTTGCTGAACCAACAATAACGTTTTCCCTCTAAAATAGCCGTCTGTGTTCTCCTGGCTTGGAGATTTTAGTTTATGCAAATCACTGTGGAAAAGGAATGGCCCCTTAATTATTCTTGAAGCAAATTCAACATAATTAAAAGTGCTTCCGTTTGGGCATATGAACTCTTTTGAAGTTTCACAGACCCACTATGGAAGTTGTATTTCCTTAGAAACTCAGATTTCATCACTACATATCTTAGAATAAAATCTAGCATTACTATTCTTCTCCCAAAGGTAGAAAATAATACACCACCCACCACTGACTTCAGTTTTTAATGAGTTAGAATACTCTTTCAAGTATCCTAATTCATACTTAGATCTGTCTAAACTTTCAGAGAACCTCTGGGTTCACTGTTAAAGGCATAAATTGTTCCAGTTCAGAGCACAAAGTTGAAGGTTCCACATTTTATCTGCCCATCCAGCAGACATAGACAACTCTAAAACAGTTTGAACTGAGGGTCTAGGGCAGCGGTTCTTGTGGGTCTTGAACACTTTGGAGGCTGCATGTCAGATATCCTGCATATCATATATTTACATTTTGACTCATAATAGTATCAAAAGTACAGTTATAAAGTAGCAAGGAAATAACTTTACGGTTGGGGGTCACCACAACATGAATTACCATATAAAGGGGTCACGACATTAGAAAGGTTGAGAACCCCTGGTCTAGGGAGTAGTAGATCATATGAAAACATCAATTTTATAAAAGCCCTTCATCTTCCAAGAAACATGGCAAATAGATCTTTGTGCATATTTACACTACAAAATGCTACAGTAGCATCCTGGAAAATAAAGTAATACTGGCTGTTCTGCATTGTGACAAAAAACTGGATTTATCTCAGATGATTCTTTTCAGCTGCTAATAACTTGTAAGTTGTGAACTTTAAAAAGTAAGATAAATAGGTTTCTGTCAAATCTAAACATTATCTGTTTGGGGGGCAACATTCAAATCCTCTTGCATACCTGTCAGTGGGGTCTTCAAATATTTTCTGGAGGCCAGAGGAGAGGCTTCCACTGACATTTGGACTGGAGCTATGCTCAGCAAAGCGTCTCAGTTGCTGTTGTATTGGTGTAGGATTACTCAGAGACTTGGTAATATCAGCAAGAACACGAGGGAGAGGCCCCAGTTTTGCCACAGTTGCCTGTAGGAAGGAATTTTCACCCTAATTGGACAATAAGCATTGTGACATCCACAACATATTGTTTTGGGGACAATGATGCCCATTGATGGAAGGATGTAGGTTGGAGGGAGGGTAGGTATTGCATATGGGAGTGGCAAGTTCATAATGCATTGTTATGGAGCAGCAGAACCATGGCGTCGAGATGAATGGAGGAGGCGGAACAAGGTGCAGTAGACATTGAGGAAAGAAAGGAAATAGAAATTAGGATTATGCAAATAAAATTTTAAAAAACATGCTCAAAACAAACAAACTATTGCCATTCCAACTGAAATATGCATGCAAAGCACACTATATCTTCGAGTGACTAACAGACCAAGATGGAGGAAAAGGGAAGAACCAAACACCTTCTAACCAAAAGGAACTTCAGGATCAGATGACTGGCTAGTGTGATAAAACTTCCAAAGAAAAAGGTTTATGTGAGGAAAGCAATGCATGCCAACATACAGGAAGGTGCTGCATTCAGGGACCCGGAGAACTGCGGTACATGCAGTTAGTTTACAGTGTAATCCACTATCCCAGACAATCTTGGGAACCTTGAATCATTGTCAACTGAGTCTTGTTAAAAAAACAAAACAGTAAAATCAGGTGATCTTTCTCTCTTCTCAGATACGTCTAGATATCTGGCTCCCATGACTAAAGTCTGTTAAAAAAGACTTTGATCATGAATAAACTAGGCCTATTTCATAATTGTACGTGTATCTTACTGATACAGCTATCTAACAAACTTTTAAAATAATTGTTTTATCTATCTTAATCATTTTTTTCCTATGACATTCTTATCTTCACGGGTTCTTAAGGAATCCCTTAACCACTATGCAGTTTAGGATAATAGTTATGGTTATCTGTAGGTCTTCTTAATCTTCTGAGTGATAGGTAGACTCTCTCTCTCTGTCTCTGTCTCTGTCTCTGTCTCTCTCTCTCTCTCTCTCTTTCTCTCTCTCCTCTCTCTCTCTCTCTCTGTGTGTGTGTGTGTGTGTGTGTGTGTGTGTGTGTGTGTCTATGTGGTGTGTGTGTTGTTCGTATGTGTCTGACAATCAAGCCCAGGGTCTTATTCATGCCAGGCAGGTGCTCTAACCACTGAAATAGATTGTGTGCTTTCCTTCCTGATCTGACATTCAAAACTAAGGTCTTAATGTGCCAGGCAGGTGCTCTAACACTTAGCTCCATGTTCCAGCCAACTGACACTCTCCCACTCTGCCTGAGTAGGTATGAACGTCATCTAAAGAATGCATTTACTTGTTCAACAATGTTAAACTAAGATTCACAGGAGAGAATTTACTTTCCACATCACTTCAACTTAGTATCCATATAGCATTTCTTAAAGTACAGAAGTAGCACTTGAGGATAAGGAATGGTTTATGGTTTTATAAATATTTTAAGTATCAGTGGACATACTACCATCTGTAATTTTTTCTAGAAAGTAAATTTTACTAAGAAGTTTATTCCTATATTCTCTTTATTAGATATAACATCTTATAGGTAAGAGGAAAATTTAAGAAAACAAATAAATCCTTATCACAGAAAAATAACATTGATTACTGAATTATTTTCTACTACAGAATCTATTCCTCTTAGTAAAATCTAGAATGAAGAAAATGATTGGTATGCTTTATACTGAGCTATTCAAAAGACATAAAGTTCACTTGGCATTAGGAAATAAATGATTATTTTTATTTTCTTAATTCACATTGGTAGATAAAGAAAATATCTGTATTTTTGAATACTATGTGACTCTTAGTGATGAAAATTATATCCAACTCTGACTTACACAGTGAGAAAAACAACTTCCCCCATGGTGAAATTAAGTATGATGAACAATATTTTATAAATATGTACTTTTAAAAAAGATCTTGTCTTTAGAAATTACCAGATGAAGTTTCTTACACATGGATAAAGATGCATATATTAATATTTGATAACAGTTTCTAGGTAAGTTTTCGTATGTATGGTATGTATGGTATGTATGTATGTATGTATGTATGTATGTATGTATGTATGTATGTATGTATGTATGTATCCAGCAGAAAGACTTATCATCATGATGATCTCTAGAATCTGGACACTAAGGTTCTGTATCCACTTCCCACTACCCTCCCTCCTCCTACTTTACCTTATCAAGTTGAGAGACTACTTCCCATAGTAAGGAATGCAAAACTGACAGCTCTCTGCCCAGATCAATGTAACCATCAAAGCCTGGTGTGTTTGAGATGGTGTCTGGATTAGAGATCTCCAAAAGGAACCGCTTCATTCCACCCCATTCATGTTCTAAAAAGTCATTCATGAATGCCATATATTCCTCTTTGTTACCAAACCTGAGGTGAGAAAATAAGAAAGAACATAGATCAAAGAAAGATAAATTAACATTTTGAGTTGACTTACAAAGAGGTATCATTTCTTTTTATTTTGTGACGATAAGGATTTTAAGTTGTAACTGCTAAAATACTCTTTCTTAATATTACTTTAACTCATGTTGAAAAACTCAAAAGTAGAGATAAAAATTCTTCTTTTGGCCTTCAAAGTTCTGACATAATACAGTCCTTAATTATCTACTAAACGCTCACCAAGACAACCATCAATTTTACTAATTTTTTTTTCAGTTTCCAAATATATTCCATAGTCTCTTTCTTACCCATAGTTCATATTGAACCCCCAATGGATGCCTGAAACTGCAGATATCATGGAACGCTCTATATTTTACCCTATACATGCACTCTTAAAATAGCAAAAACAAAAACAAACTTAAAAGGACTTTAGTTTCTCTTTAGCACATCCAAATTGCCAGCATAACAATTTCTGGTTTGGGGGGGACCATTACTAAGTAATATAGGGTTATTTGAATATAAGCATTACACTTCAATAGTTAATCTGAAAACCAAGAGCCTATTAACAGGTAGGTGGTATGCACTGCATGGATACCCAGAACAAATGGATGAGTGATATCCTGGGTGGGACTGAGTTAGACATCACAACACATCTCCTATTCACAATGGTTTAGATATTGCATTTGATATTTTTGGATTGTGTTGATCATAGGTAACTGAAACCATGGACTTCAGTCCTTGCACAAGGGGAGATTGTATGGGAGGGAGCCTTTTCTAGGTCTCTGTTCATGCTCTATTTCAGAGAAGAAATTTCTGTCCATCTGATTTTAGCTATCCTTCTTTATGCCCCAACATAACCTACAAATACTTTTTATCAGAAATAACTTAAATATGGGCAAATCTTTATGTGCTGGCTTAGCTATAAAGTCCATAAAATTCAAACAGTGAACTTCAAAAAAATTCTATTAGAGATAGTTTAGCACTTGCTGCTCTTCCACAGGATCTGGGTTCTATCTCAGCACCTACACAGTGGCTCACAACTGTCTCTAACTCTAGTCCTAGAGAATCCAATGCCCTCTTTGGGCCTCTGCAGGCACCACACATGCAAAATACACATACGTATAAACAAAATTTACAAAATATAGGAGAAGACAATCTGCTTCACTGATACTTTTTCTTCTATACACTGTTGATAGAAGCTTTTCTGTCTCAATATTAAATATACCTCTGATCAATTTTGCAAAGCTTCCATTCTTTCCTGGTCCATCAGTCCTTCCTTCTTTCCTTCCCCTCCTACCTTCTTTCCTCCCTCCCTCCTTCCTTCTTTGAGATAGTCTTACTGGCTGGTAGGCCTAAATTTGCTATGTAGACTAGACTGGCCTTGGACTCACAGAGATCCACCTGCTTCTACCTCCTGAGTGCAGGGATTGAAGGTGTGAGGCACTGTTCTGGGCTTTCTAACTTCCTTTTGAAAATAAATTTAAGCCTACAGAAAAGTTGAAAGAATATATAATGAACACCCCTATGCTTTCCATCTATATCAACCATCTGTTAACCTTTTTTCTTATTTGCCAGATTTGCTTCCATTCTCTACAGATACATATAATTTTATAGAGAGAGCCATTTTAAACTCAATTACTTTAGTGTCCATTTTTTCAAAGTGAGGAGTATCTCTTATATAAATAAATGCTATTTTCACATTAAAAATTTTAAATTATTCATGAATCATCTCATATACAGTTCTTAATTAAATTCTACTTGTTTTTTCCAAATAATAAAAAATTATTTTGAATTATATGTGTATCTATGTGCACGCAAGTGTGGGTGCCCCCTGAAGCCAAAGGTGTTGGATTCCCTTGGAACTAGGAGTTGTAAGCTACCTGATATGAGTGCTAAGAACCAAACTCTGGTCCTGTGCAATAGTTGTAAGTGATCTTAAACGCTGAGCTATCTTTCCAGTTCCCAAATAACTAAAACAATCTTTATATATGTTTATTTTGCATGTGGGAGGTGGTGCTTATACACCATGGTGCACATGTGGAGGTCAGAGGCCAATTTGTGAGAGCTGGTTCTTTCCTTCCACCATGTAGATTTGTAGTATTAAACTTAAGCTGTCAGGCTTGACAGTCTTTACCTGATGAATCATCCGATGGGACCCTCCCCCAATAATTTTTAAACATTTTTTTCTAAATTAAGATACCAATAAATTTCAAGTATCACATTCAGTCTCTTTTGATTGTCTATTGTACCCGTCCATCTTTTGCATTTTTTTCTAATAGCACCTCTTGGAACATAGCCAGTCTATTTGCAATAGATGATAATAACTACCATATTTGCCTATTTTCACCACACTTTTGATGGATGCTTGGGATTGAACCCAGGGCCTTGTGCATGCAATGTAAGCATACTACCAGCCTTTTCCCAATACTCTCAACTTGTATTGTTTTTTTCATAGTCTAAAATAATAACATAGTATCATTTGATTAAATTATCACCATTTTCATATTATTAGATATCCCTTATAAACATTATTTTCGGTTGTTATAAATACTTCACTAAATGTCTGTACCAGAGTTATTTAGTATTTACTTCCATTTTAAAACCCTTATTAACAATGCAATAAAAATCTAGTATTAGTGGGAATGCAACTTCCCAGCCTCATCCAAAAGCTCATTCATTTATTTTTAAAGCCAGGTGGTTTTTTTGTTTTGTTTTGTTTTTGTTTTTTAAGAGTTAGAGTAGTTTCACCTACTTGGCAAAGTTGGCCAGGTTCTGAATGACCTTGGCTATAAGAGTTAGAGTCCGAGATGTTCGGTCATCAGGATACTCCTGCATCAAGCTGAAAAGACTGGGAGACATAATGGCTGGGCAAAGAAAACGGAGAAACAGTGAGGCACTAATGAGCCGCTCACTGATGTCTTGCTTGCCTCGGTTCAGGCACTGCTGTTTCCATGATGCAAACACCTCCTTCAGTTCACGAGGGAAGACACTACAGAAGAGGGAAAACATACAAACAAATCCAAAGCCTCTAAATATAAATGTGTTATAACCTGTGAAAGTGACCCCACCCTGACCCAGTATGCCTTAGTTCTAAAGCTGAGCTAGGAGGAGGACCTATTAGACACTCAGGGATGGAGGTCAGCCTGATTAATGGCAGGCAGGAGGTGGAAAAGTCACAGAAGGCCAGGTGGAAAATAGAAATAGAAAGTTACAAAGTTTTGGATTAGTACAAATTTAGTTTAGCTAAGTGGGAAAACAGTATGAGGCTCCCCACTAAACTACCTGGTTTAACACAGCTTCCCATAATATCCCTAAAGGCTGTTCATGAAAAATCTTCTCAAACTCATCATTTGTTTTTGACAGAGAAAAGATCAAAATTTATGAACACATCTGTTCCATACTAGCAAATATATTAAAAAAGTAAATTAAACAAAACAAAACAACCCTACCCAACACCTCCAACCTCTACTTAATAGCTGGAAAGGGTTACTTAGAGAGACAGTTCAGAAGTCCTGCTTAAAATGAAGTTAGATTTTAGACAGGCCTAAGGGAGGGAAATCTTGAAATTTCCTTCGAGTCTTTTCCTTATGAAGATGTTCACATGGAAATAGTAGGTTCCTTGGCAAGGACACAAGCTCACCAGTAGGAGTTGATGATCTTGCAGAAAGCCAGCTCACAGCACATTTTCAGGTTGCTCTGGTGGTCTATCAGTTCACTAGATGAGCACTTGCTGGGATCCACTTCACAGTTCTCATCTGATTCATACAAGGCTTTGATGAACTCCCCTAGTCAAAGAGAAAAGGTGACAAGTACTGTAACTAGTCTATGCTTTTCTAAATAGAATAAGAAATAATTGAGTACTCTTTAGAGTTTTCTTTCCCCAGATCCAGCAGGGAGGAACCATGAAGAGTCAAAGCTTTTAACCAATAGTTACCTCCTCCCATGCACTATATTCATTCACTTTAGACTGGAGGCAGAATAGAACCAATCACCAGCATTATCATTATTTATAAAAACAGCAATTATTTTATTTAAAAATATAGTATCTTTTATTGGAAACCCAAAATATATTTAATTATCACGAACTTGTACAGAGTTCCCCCTACTAGTGTAAGTAATGTCATTATTCCAGGAAACAACAACAACAACAAAAACAAACAACCAAAGCTTGATTGAACAGATAACCCAACTAAGATTTTAGGAGTAATGCTGTTAAACACAGATGCAAACAAGGCTCTTCAGGTCTACCACTTGCATTGGGGATGGTAACTCAACCTTCCACACAAAACTGCAACATTTCTCTTTATATATACTTTACATGCTTTCCATAGACAATGGTTTACAATCACTGGCCGGATAGCCTATCTATAAAGATATGCTAACAATTCTTTGGAATCACCTTATCTGCTTACCACTACAAGTTATACCACTTCAATGTCTTCTGATAGTCCATGTTTTATACTCTTGTGCCTGTTTGTTCACATGTATATTTCACTTGTAGGATAAACCTTTGGATGTTAGGAACCGGGTTTTAATTATGTGTAAATTCATGTCCCTCTTGAATAACTCTCAAAGAGCAGGATAGGAGCTTAAAAGTTTTTTTAAGAGATGGAAGTACATAGTCTTGTTTTCTTACAGGCCTCTCTTGTTAAAGAGGAGTGGACTTTTTAAAGATCCTTCTCAATCTGGGGATGTGATTTGGGGTTCAGGTTAGTCATAAGAGGGTTTTGGAAAAACAGTAATTCCTACAAAAATATCAGGAGCAAAATGAAACATATTTTCTGCCAAAATGATTATTATTGAGATAAAGGAAAGTTTCTAAAAATAGCTATTACAGAGGATGGGAAAACTTATTTAGAGGAAGCATTTTTGGGGAACAGGAAGCAATGTGGTACATATACATGTGTGAGCATGGTGTGTGCACCAACACATACATGGGAGGGAGGGAGGGAGGGAGG